ATATATATATATATATATAAATGACGGCAAATTAAATGATGCATCTCTGGACTATATTGTAATATACCTCAAAATTGCCATGTGGATCGAATATATGCATTGTAGTATTGTCATTTACTGAGACAGGAAACTTCGAGACTAATTATAGTAGTCCGTGTTATAGTTCGCTATAGTATGCTAGTGTGCTATAGTATGTGTTTGTTGAGGATTCTTTTCCTCAATGACTTTTAATGGATTCATTTGTTCGTGCAAAATATGAAATTATAGTTGAATTTTTTGTTCTGAATTACACGTCTTGATTGCTCAATTTTCTGTTTCGCACATGACGTTAAAATTGTGTTATAGAAATAAGATAAAATTTTATCTGAGTGAAAATTTTGTTTCATTCAATCTTATTATCCAGATTTATAAAAAATATAAGAACAATATAATTATAGAAGAAAGTCGTTAATATTGACACAGATCTCGAAAGAAATATTTTTTTATTTTTCTCAAAGTAAACATTGTACTCTATTAATGATAAAATTACGAACTGTTTAGATGATCAAAAGAAAAATCCATAATTCATTTTGTGGCTTGTTTCTATGTAAAATCAGATAAAAACGAATTTTAATAAATGCGAAAATAAAATTTTTACGATTTTCTTTTGCTAATTGCGTAATTAAAATAATAGTGAATATAATATTGATAATATTAGATCGTTACGTGGTTTTCTAAAATTGTTTTATATTTTTTTTCTCTTATTTTTCTTATAGTACGGTTTTAAACATAAAATTGAAGTGCAGCGTAAACCAACACACTTGTCTATAAGACAGACCATAAGCTAACTTAATCTTTATATACTGTCGCGTTATTGTGTCAAATAGCCTTGTTGAAGCTGAAGGTATTCCTATACTTACGGAAAACCTCTAAGAAAAATTGTTGTGTTACGTGTTTATGTCTTGCGAAATAGTCTAAAGTATGCAACAAAAAACGTTTTTACAAGTAAAAAAGTTCTAGAAATTTTCATATACATTAACTTGTAGATATTTCATATAGATAATTTCTGTGAAAGAAAAGAATAGAAATATGTGGCATTATCATTACACCAGTCTTAGAAAATTTTATCAGAGGCACATATTTTTGCTTGTCTTACGAAAACGTTAATTATTGCAACATTTTAAACAATATTATAAAAACTGACAGAAAAGGTTTTTGTATTTATTTTTCCAAAGTTTTATTTTAGTTTTTATTAAAGAATTATGATCAAAATACAAAGAGATATAACAATATTGACCTTTCTCTATTGAATTAATATACTTGTCCTGTTTATTAAATATTTTCAATACTCAATATTCAATATTCAATATTTTCTGAATTAGCAAGAAATGCATTTTTTGGTAATTGGAAATATTAATACATTGCTGAATTCCGTGAAATCCCTAGTATTAGCGTATAAGATGCGCCGCACAGGAACTTTGATCATCGATTTTGTAACACGCATACATATAACCGTAAAATTCTAGAACCATATTCCTCGGCAGATACATGCTTAACGCAAATAATATATTTTGCGGCAACAACGACCGTGTTCTGCTTCGATCTCGTTCGTTGCATCTCATCTCTACATTGCTCGTTTACATGAACACATGCTTCGGCTCTATACGTATACTTATGCAAATAATAACTATCTTATGC